CACATCAAATTCAAAACTCTGATGTTTGCCTACAAAGTGACTTCTGGCCTAGCACCTTCTTATCTGCACTCACTTCTGCAGATCTATGTGTCCTCCAGAAACTTGCGTTCTGTGAATGAACGTCGCCTCGTGGTTCCATCCCAAAGAGGGAAGAAAACACTTTCGCGAACGCTCACGCTCACGCTCAATCTGCCCAGTTGGTGGAATGAACTCCCTAACTGCATCAGAACAGCAGAGTCACTCGCTATTTTCAAGAAACGACTAAAAACTCAACTATTTAGTCTCCACTACACTTCCTAATCTGCAATTGCCTCTGAATATCACACTAACTGTACAAAAAAAAAAAAAAAAAAAAATACTAATACTTCCCTTCTTAGACTTTACAGACCTAAAACTTGCCTTTAGTACTTATTCATTGTTGCTCTTAGTTGTGTAAATTGCTTCCTTGTCCTCATTTGTAAGTCGCTTTGGATAAAAGCGTCTGCTAAATGACTAAATGTAAATGTAAATGATTCTAGCATAAATTAGCATATTAGTACCATGACTCCAGTATGAATTAGCATGTTACTAGCATGATTTATTTTGGAAGTATAAAACATCATAGCGTGTATTTCTAAAGAAAGAAAAACAAACTTCATAAGGTTTTGTTTGTAATAACTAGAAAATGCCACTTTTTAAAAACTGTTTCTGGAAAATTCTGGAATATTTTCTGTCTGTTCATATGTTTTTGGACCAAAAAATATTTTAGACTGGACCTTTAAATGATACAGATTGAAACTTCAGGTTCTCCTGTTTAAAATAATATATGAGACTTGAGGCTGACTGCTAAAATAAAAATAAAACTGCTTTTAAAAAAAATAATAATATAGGCCCATTAGGTGCCCACAAAATACCTCTAGGTCTTTAAGGGTTAAATGATGAATAATTATCAATGTATGCTGAAGTGCCCATTATATCAATTTTGTGCATGCTCATTATTGTGACATATTGAATTATTGATTGTCTTCTCTGCACTTGTCTCTCTCACACCTCGAATCCCTCCCTTCAGTCCTTCTCCACTGACCTGAAGTCCTGGTCCACCCTTTGAAAGCGGGCCTGCTCCCTAGGCAATGCCCCTCGACCAAATATGGGCTGCAGGTAGACCCACTTCCTCTGGATGGTGTTGAGGTTGTGCAGGTACTCGTCGAGGTCTGCCAGCCTTGTTTCCCACAGAGACACTTTGTCCTGGAATCGCAGGTAATACGGCGAGTCTTTGAGCGACTGAAGGAGACATCGGTTGTCTCCCACCTGGTTGACCACATCCCTCCAGTCCTTGATGACGGGCAGAGAGCAGCCCTGAGTGTCTGTGTAGTCTGTGAGGGTGAAGCTGGCGCCGGCACCCCAAAGCTCCAGCTCTCGCAGAGCCTCGCGGATGGAGACCTCGGCCTGGGCACGACTGTTCAGATCCTGCTCACAGAGAGACAGAGAGAGAGGAAATCAGTCATGTGTGCAGATGATGGAGAATTATAGTATTGAAATTGCTGGCTAAATATAACTCAGATCCTGTCTTAGATGACATTCAGATGGTGTTCTGTGGATTTTTATATTTATATTTGTATATTTATATATATATATTTTTTTTTATATATATACATATATACACACACATATATATATACACACACACACACACACACATATATATACACATAGGTATTTATATATATATATATATATATATATATATATATATAGATATACATACATATACACACACACACACACACACATATATATATATACACACACACACATATATACACACACATATATATATACACACATATACACACACACACACACACACACACATATATATATATACACACATATATACACACACACACACACACACACACACACACACACACGTTTCTTGTGTTCTGTTTGTGTTGGTGTTGTGTATTTTGCACGTGGTTCATATTTACATGCGCCTTGTGCTTTAGTGTTTTGTTTCATGTGAACACACGGTTAATGAGTTTTCTCATTGGTTGCATGTTGCAGTCCTGTTTTCTTGTGAGCACATGGCTTGTGTTGTCTCTTCGTGTCATGTGCTCTCCCGTCTATTGTCTATTAAAACCGTCCTTGTTCTCCCATTATAAGTTTATTCAGTTCACCTGTTTGTTTGTTTGTTAATTATTTCTGCTTATAGTTCCTACTTGTCTGATGTCCTGTGCCAGCTGGTCATCAATGCTTCCCTTGAGTTCCTGCTCCAGTCCTGTCGTGTACTGCCTTGCCAGCCCAGCCTAGTTTGTTTGTTTATTTGTTTTGTTAATGTTTTCCCCCTTGGGGTTTGTTGTCTTTTTGTTTTATTTTCAGCATGCGATATACTGTCGTGAGGCGCTGCAAAATGGGGCGGGATTAAACAAGCTTATTAGACATTAAAAAAAGCGAGCGATTGCTCCATGTTTTAAATTTCTGCTCAGAGAGGTCATGCTTTTGTCCTCGATTGTTCTTACGCAGTCAAGTGATACGATTTCGCAGGTCAGAGTTCACCAAGCTTGAACTTTGCACTGCAGCAACCTGCGAAACTTAAGGCATGACCCTGCGTTTCTGGTCTGACGCATTCGCGTGCGTATGAATGGAAGTCTATGGGAGGAAAAGCCCTGTGTGACCGTAGCTTTACTGTATATGTATGTAATGGCTAGAAATCATCATATTTAGTATTTTTTAAATGCTAAAAAATAATAAAATTAAAAATAAATCAATAACAAAAATCTAAAACTAATTCTAAAAAAGTCCTGGGTGTTTGTTATGTTATTGCACCTGCAATAATGCAAAAGTAGCTGAATTTTTTTTGCACCATTATTATGCTATTAATGTAATTTTTATTAAATTTTTTGATTTTCCATTTAGTTCTTCTGTTACAGATTCGAAGAAATCTGTTGTTTTTTGTGAGATTCAAAGTAGTTAAATGAAGTACTTTTTAATGCAGCTTTTATTATTATTTTATTTCAGTTTTATGTTTTAATTATTGCAGTACATAATTAAAAAAAAAAGCTAAAATAAAATAAAGTTGTTTTTTATATATATATTTTTTCTCTTTGGTTTAAAGGCACAGTTCACTCCAAAAATAAAAAAAAAGTCTTTATTTACTCGCCCTTAATTTGTTAAAAACCTGTTCGAGTTTCTTTCTCTGTACACAAAGGAAGATATACCATAGAATGCCATTGACTTCCATAGTATTTGTTCTTCTGATTGCTGTATCTTCCTATTGCTGCTTTTTTCCAGCAGTCTTCAGAATATTTTGTTGTGTGTCCAACATAAAATAAAAAATGTAACAGTTTAGAACCACTTGAGTTTGAGTAAACAATGCAATGGAAATATTTACTTTTGGTTCAACTATCCCTTTAACCTTTATGTTATTTGTAAAGGGTCACGAAACACCAAGACACATGTTTTGAGCTGTTGACAGTCGTATATGTGTCCCACACTGCTAGAAACACTATTAGGACACCTATATTTCACTAAAAAGTGTAAATTGGTTGTTTTACGTTATTTCAAGCAAATTCGTATTTCCGGTTTGAAACGAATTTTTGAAGCTGCGTCACGGTCATGACATAATAGCCTGTATTCCAGCGTGCAGACTGGGCGTCTGTGCCAGAGTGAGTCTTATTACGTCTTACAGTGTGATGCATTAATGCATGAGTAAGGCTTGGTTCAAACCAATAAGCGCGCTCTATTGTGCAACTTCATTAATATTCATTACTGTCACAGTGTTTAGACGCCACGTTGTGTTGGTAAAACAAGCGTGAAGTGTTGCTTTTATAGTTTGCTGCAGTTAAGTTTTGTTTTCATTTTCTCTCTGTGAGAGCTCAGCTGGAGTCATGTGTGGATTAACAGTGTACGCGACACTCGACAATAATAACTTACGTGTCTAAGGAGGATTATTGTTTACCTGAGAGCTGTTCTCATCTGTAAACGCTGAGATCCGGATTCGCTTGTAGTCTTCTCTTCATAAAGACGCGGCTCTAGTTGCTGGTGATTGTTCTGTCTCTACAGATTTGGTAAGTGAGCGACCAGTGCTCTTTGTTTATTCAGTTTGTTCGTATCGAAGTAAGTTAACTATTGCACCGAGTGTAAACATGTTAGCACCACAACCAAACTTTAACCTCGTGTAGGGTTTTTACCGCATTTTGTGACCGGAATAACACACGCGGCTTTCTGACGCTACCTGCCGTGTGCATCTAAGTTTCCGCGAAATGCGGAGGGTTTTTTTTCTCTCATTCGCCGTGCGGTATTAAACATTGCATGAGAAATACACGCTTAGAGCAGTTCCTCGAATCAAATATCTCGTTTGTCGCGAGGGACATGAATGAATTCCCTGAATGAAAGAGCCAAACTGCAGTTAAAGTCCAACATTTAATAATTTGGCAAATAATTCGACTACAGATGTCCATGTAAACACCATCACTTTCTCCCGTTTGTGTGTGTGTGTGTGTGTGTGTGTGTGTGTGTGTGTGTGTGTGTGTGTGTGTGTGTGTGTGTGTTTGTGTGTGTGTGTGTGTGTTTTGACTCTGAAACTTGCGCGTGCCCAAATAGACACTCCCACAACATCCCACTTTTCTTCCTCCGACACTCCCCCCTAAACAGAGCTGGAACGCCCACTTTTCTGACTTTTTCCAAAGTAGAGGTGTGAAAACACCCTGCTGAAACGAGGGGGTTTCATGGCCCTTTAATGGATTTAGCGGTTAAAGTTTTCACAATAAACTCTGCTGACTAGTCACGCCCACAGTGAAATCTAATTGGTGCAAGGTCTTGAGTTCCTCATAACTACTCATAAGTCTCACATTGTGCAGCATCTTTGACTCACGAGGACTGAAACCTGAGGAGAATAAGAGTTTATCTGTGAACAGATGGAAAGTGTACAGAAAGTTAAAAGTGTGTGTGAACCTTGAGCTCCAGGGTTTTGTCTATGATGTTGTCTGCCACCCTGAGCAGGTCTCTGAACTGAAGTGTCTCCAGTGTGGATCCCCTGGGCAGAGAAATGAGCCGGAACAGATCCAGCCAGTGTTCCTGAGAGAGATGCTCACCTCGAACGTACTTTAGCACTGGAACCACCGCCTAAAACACACACACACACTAGTTTTTGTCAATTGTAGCAAGGCAAGGGTATTTATATAACACATTTCATACACAATGGTTATTCAAATGATTCTTTTTATCTTTGCCATGATGACAGCACATAATATTTGACTAGATATTTTTCAAGATACTAGTATTCAGCTTAAAGTGACATTAAAAGGCTTCACTAGGGTAATTAGGCAACTTTAAACTTCAGTCTTTAATTAGGGATAACACAACTCTTACACTACACAGTTGTGTACATAAGTGCACAGTGTGACAATTGGGACGCAACTAATGTTTAAAAGTGCAATACAAAAACACATCACTAATTTTAGCTAAACACTCCAGAAGACATGAACACAAGCCATCAGACACACTATAGACCATTTCAATGTGGTGAAGTCATTGGCCCATGAACATTTCCTGTTTGTTACCAAACAATTACATTACTATAAAAAGAGGCAATTTAATCATATCTTAATGTCAAAACAGCTTTCATAACATTATTTATCAATATGTGGCTCTTTGTGGCTATAGAAATTAAATATATAAAACAGGAAATACATTGGGACTATCGTTTTCGTTTACATCCCTCAAAATGGTCTATAGCGAAAGCGGTGAGAAATCCAGCGTGTGACCTTGTATCTGTCCACTTCCTTCTGCAGTTTGACAGACATGCTGCTGTGCTCCTCCAGCTTCCTCAGACGATCATGCCACGCGAACAGAAACTCCTCAAACACGTGAGTCTTACTCCTGCACGCACAGATCAAACATATAGCGTTCAGACACAAACACTCGCACTCAGAAGTCATCGGAATAAACATCTGAAAACTGCATTAGCTACTAATAAAAACACTGTTACATGTACTAATTAGATTTTATGCAATGCTTACTTTTAGACAAGTTGACTTCATGTTTAATACGTTTTATTTTGTGTTTAGATAAATTGAATTTTTATTTAAATAATTAGAGAAAATGCCAAAAATTGTAGATGTATCTTTAAATAGCAAGAAAATTGTAGAATAAATGATGCAAAGGCATATTAAAACATGTATTTATACCATCAAGTTCTGCAGCATTTTTGCACTGTCTTAGTCCTCCTTTAAGTGTTTAGGTCAGTGGTTCTCAAACTGTGGTACTTGTACTAGGGATGGGAAGATTCATCGATATGTATCGATACGCGGTCATGCGCGTGCACGATGCGAGTGCATCGGTTAAGCAGCAGAGGATGAATGAAATTTTGGAAGCAAATCGAGATGCATCGGTTTTTGCGAGATGCATTGATTTTTCCGAGATACAGCTTATATTTTTAATATAGAATGTATTTTTTATTTATTAACAAGTGTTGTCAACCTGTTTTGCCACATAATTTAATCGACCTACATAAAGTAAGCCTTAGCAACGGATTTGCGGATGTGTACACTTACACTACAACTCAGTGTATCAGGTGTGCGGATGAAGCTAGTGGAGCGCCCTCAGAAAGCGCGAGAAGCAAAACAAACATTTTATTCCCCACTGAGTTTTAAATCTAAAGTATGGCAACATTATGGATTTAAGGATGGACGACATGACAGGACAGATGCAATTTGCAAAATGTGCCGCGCATCTGTAAAATACGCGCGCAGTACGACTAATCTGATATCTCACTTGAAGCGGCGCCACGGTGTTGTTGTGGAAGCATCTTCCAGTGTTTCTGCATCTCCGGCTTTCGCACTGCTTCAACTGTAGCTACCAGCTCCAAAAGTGGTCAGAACAGCATTGCAAGTTTTTTCTCCATGCGCAACAGTTCTGCTCGCTCTACGCCAATAACGAATGCTGTTGCATTGTTCATCTGCAAAGATATTCAGCCTAGTGTCACGGAGAACGAAGGTTTTAAACACCTCCTCCTGTTAATTTTTATTTAATTATAATAATAATAATAATAATATTAATGATAATAATGATGAAAATAATGGGTGTCAAGGTGGCACAGTGGGTAGTTTGACCACCTTACAGCAAGAAGATTGCTGGTTTGTTATATTTTTATTAGCCTGTTGTTTACAGTGACAGTGATGTTTCAACACAGCATAACACTGCTAGTTCACCACCTTAAGTTTTGAATAATCAGTGGCAAAATATATCTTTGTAAAACTTGTTTTCATAGTTGAAAAGTTAAATCACAATTCTTGTTGTGCAATGCTCAACCTTTATGTTGAAAAAGTGCAAATATATATTTATATATTTTAATATATATTGCACTTATACATTCTGTTTATCTTGAAAATACTTAAATAATATGTGCTATAGGTTCTAAAATGGCCCTCTACTGTAAACTGACACTCTGGCTCTGAGAGAAAAGCCAGTTTGTAAAAAAAGTCTTGGTTTTGCTTGGTTAATAAATAATCAAACTCATTCAATGGCACAGCATCCTCTTTCACATCATCTCATAAACTTGATCTAATTAGTTAGTGCTGAATTATCGCATGGTATCGTGATATGGGTGTGAATCGTATCGTGTTGCATCGCAATATGTCACAAATGTATCGCTAATATATCGGATCGTATTCTTTGTATCGAGATGCGTATCGGATCGGCATTATAGCTTAGATGCCCAACCCTAACTTGTACCACTAGTGGTACGCAGGCTTCCTTCTAGTGGTACGCGGAGGAATGAAATATGTCATGTACATGCTACACACATTTCAAATTTTATCAAAAATGATGTATATAATATGCCATATATGACATATAGCCTATATTTCTGAGGCAATCTGCCACGTTTTTTTTTTACCTGTACAGAGTTGTAGCTGCTTTACTGGGCCTACTACGCTACTGTATTTCAATACTGCTCATTTTGGTGGTACTTAGAGAGACTATTTTTTTTCTGAGGTGGTACTTGATGAAAAAAGTTTGAGAGCCACTGGTTTAGGTGTATTTCACAGACTCTTGGTGTTTGTGATAATTGCTTATTAAATTGAAGAAGTTGTATTCTTATATAGTGAATACTATTTCTAGAAGTTTTATTATTTAGTTTTTATGTTTTTGTTATTATGATCTAGATTAAAATGGTTCATTTTAATTCTGCTGAAGGCATTTAGAATATGTGTGCTACCCAAATAATGACTAAAAGTAAGTCTTTGAGAACGGGTTTCCCAAGCCAGGTGACGCATTAGACCAGAGGTTCATCTATTACCATCAACTATAATCATCATGTAGGACTTTTCGCTATATTATCCGACAAGATCCACACACACACGGCTGTCAGTAAAGGACCGCACACACACCCACACACACCCACCCACACACACATCATGAAATGCATGTTTTTCTTTGCATTTGGCGTGCGTTATTAAATTCCAAAACACTCTCACCAGTCCTTACTCCTTATTTGCGCCTAATACCCCAGTTTATCACGGGGACATGAATGAAATGTTATGAGTGAATATGAAACTGAACTGCAGTTAAAGTCAGCCAAAATTACAGGAAATTCTTACATGAAAGCACTTCACATAAACATCTTAATTATATTATTGTCTATTAAGGCAAATCACTAGATTACAGATATCCATGTAAGCGTAGTCAGTAGTGTAATCAAAGTAAGTGAAAGAGCCAGAAGGGCATCCTGCTGATTTAAATCAGAAGGGCACCGCGCTAAAATACCAAGGTGAAAGTCATTATAGCTTGTGTAGAATAGACCCAGCTCCAAACCCAACTTTGAGAATAGGTTAACGGCAATAGCAAGTACTGCAAGTGCAATGATGACGCGTCGGTTTCTCATTATTATTCATAGCGGAGTTTTCTTATCCTATGAGAAGAGCCGGCTGCTTAATTATTCATGAGACCTGCCAGACCTGCCAGAGTCAAGCCCGAGCTGTGAGACAAGGACGGACCCACGGCAGTATTTAGCCGTTTATGAAGGCTCGTATGTGTTTGTTTCCATGATCCACGCGGTTTGTTGAATGCTTTTTCCCCGCGATCCTGTCAGGGCCGATCATACAGCAAAGCTGTGTGTGTGCTGCTAGCATTTTTGTCGGGAGAGCAGCACGAGAATTAGAGAATGGTGGACGTTGACTTTTATCAGGAGTTCGTTCACATTCAGACACATCACTGTGCTGCTGTGTTTGCCTAAATTCTCCAGATTACCAGCAGGGTTAATGGTTAAAATAGACAGGTCAGGAGATCTGCTCCACTGAGTCTGCTGGATACGGGGATTGAGGGAGAATCCTCATTTATAGGGTTTACATGAACACACATCTTTATAATGATATAAATTGTGGTTATGTGTATATGAAATTACGAATAACAAATGTAGCAGGGCACTAAATCACTGTTCATTTCTTTGCATTTTAACTTTGTAAACTATAAACTTATGCATCTCCTCACGGTTTGTCTCATTTTGTGAGCTATAACTGACAACAACAGTTATTCGCTCACATTCTGCCCTGCTGGCCACGCCCACTCCTGCCCGATGCTCGCGGAGCTCCACGCCCATTAATCATGCATCTTTTGAAAAAATTCTGAAGTTGACTTTAACCGAAATTGGGGGGTGTCATGGCCCTTTAACACCCAACAACCCACCAAATGCTGGTAGATTTCTGCTGTGGCTTAGACAGCCGCTCCTACTAGCCACTAAACACACTAAAAATAATGTTTAATTTGCCAGCACTGGGTAGTCACTAAAGATTAGAATGTTAGTTTATAATCGTTGTCAATTTGCATGCAAATGTGATTTTAGAATCGAGAAGCAGCACGACTGACAAAACTGAGAGTAATGAGAGGACGATCATGCGCACAGTGAGACAGGCGATCCTCACTCACTGACGAGGGCTTTAGTATCGCACGCATCAGCTGTGCCGTTGGCGCCGACTCGAAGCTTTGTGTTGTTGTAAAATGTGAGAAATGTTTGTGTGACTGTGACCTGAATGAAATCCAGTCGTGCTGAGCGATTTCCTCCAGTCCGCTGTGAAACTCCTCATAGAGCTCCCACATCTGTGAACAGTCCTGCAGGTCCCGCAGCGTGTCTGAGGCCAGCGTTCCGTCAGGAGAGCTCAGATTGAAGTGTTCACAGTCTTCCCTGCAACATACCAAACACACACCTCAACCATGATAAAAGCAAAGGTGGATAACAGCACGGTTACTATTGATTTATTATATTATATTCCTTTGTTGTGGCTTAGTTCCTGTATTAATCAGGGGTCTCAACAGTGGACTTATCCAGCATATGTTTTAGGCCCCGTTTACACTAGTGTGTTTTAGTTTTAAAACGGCGTTTAAGAATGAAAAAGATCCGCGTCCACACTTGCGTTTTACCCAGCGTTTCTGAACTGCTCTCCGTCCACACCAAAACGCTGAAAACGCACATCACGTGACCACACACACTCTCGGGCAAGCGCTGCAGCCTATCTACCCAGATGAGAGCTCTGCTAGTCGGACTTCTCATCAAGCATCTCCCGCTGGATCTAATCTCACTATATTTATTAAACGTGATATTTCATTCATCTTGTTGTCTTTATCTAACGACATATTCCCTGACTTTGGTCTTTTGAATATATTATTGTTCTCAGGTAACATGTTTTGGCTGAGCGCAAAGATAAGTTAATGATTAATGTAAGCACGTAGCCTATTCTGTATATTGACTGATCGCTTGCCTTTATTTCCTATAATGTATAAACTTATTGTATGTTATACTTTTATAATGGCCATTATCGATTATTAAAACTGATATTCAGCAAAAGAGAGGGTGTGTTTCGTATTTTCACTGAAATTGAAAGGAGAAAGTTGTTATCGGCTCCGTTTAGTTATAAATATCCACACAGTGAAGATGACGCTCATATATGCAGCATGATGTCTCAACATTTCTGCTTTCTGTTTAGTTGCTAATATTAAAATGATAATAGGCAGTTCCTTAAATCATGTTTACATTTTATTGTTGAGAAAGTGAAACAACGTAGCCAGGGTGATGTGAATGAAGTTATAAAGTACACTGTTCCCTTTGAAGATTTACCCGTGTCCTCGGTATAGTCTGTTTTCCATATCAAACTGAGAAGAAGAGACTGTAGCCTTGATCAAACTTGCGAAGTCTGAACTTACACAGAGATAATGCAGGACTGAACTGTGAGTGTAATTGTACTTAATATTGAGGAAATGCCCCAATCAGAGAGACGAATGTCTGCAGCCCCGCCTCCGTTTTCAGATGTCTCTGTTTTTCCATCATCCACACTGAGACGGAGCAGCAGCGTTTCGGAATGAAAACGGCCTCTCCAGCGCTTTCGAAACGCTCCGTTTTCGGCGCTCTAAAACTCTGGCGTTGTGTGGACGGATGACGTAAACGTAGCAAAACTTATGCGTTTTAAAACGAAAACGCATTAGTGTAAACGGGGCCTAACACAGCGGATGCCGTTCTAGCTGCAACACATCACTGGGAAACACCTATACACACTCATTCACACACATACACTATGGACAATTTAGCATGTCTTTGGACTTGTGGGGGAAACCGGAGCACCCGGAGGAAACCCACGCCAACACGGGGAGAACATGCAAACTCCACACAGAAATGCCAACTGACCCAGTCTAGGCTCGAACCAGCAACCTTCTTGCTGTAAGGTGAAAGTGCTACCCACTACGCCACCCCTATTAAATTATATATTTATTATAGATTCTGTGGCTTATTTACTTTTATTTGACATGACAATAAATGAAAGTAAATGAAGAAAGAGAGAGTGTGGAAAGGATCAGGAAAGGTCCATGAGCCTGGTTTCGTACTCCGGGACTGCGCTGTTGTGCTCTCTAATCACTCTATCAGCACAGACTAGTTTTTTCAATGATTTTTAGAACTATATTATTTTTGAAATGTGAAAATCACTTTTATAAGGGGTTTACACACCATTTTGTGGCAACAGTGTGTGAATATATCCAGCCTCTAATAGTAAAAATGTATTAATTATATAGTTTCATTTAAATAATGAAGAATAATCGAGACATACATGAGTTTTGTGCGTGTGTTCTCCAGCTCGCTGAACTCGGCCTGTCGCTCCCGGATGATCTGAACGCATCGCTGCAGAGCCTCATGATCTCCAGACTCGATGATGTCATTTCCGGGTTTGAGCTGATCCCAGCGCGCTCTAAACTTCTGCAGGTCCTGCTGGTAAACCTGAACACGAGACTCCACGTTCCCCTTCATCACCTCCACCTGAGAGACGATTTACAGATCAAAACTATTGCCAAATACACACAAAACTGCTGTTTAACAACTTCTTTCTGTAATTAGTGTATTATTAATTAGTTTGTATTTATTTAAGTTTTAGTTTTAATGTTGGCATTATTTCCATATTTCAATTATTTTGTTTTAACAAAAATAATAATAAAACACAAACTAAAAAGAAAAAAAAATAGAAAACAAAAACCTAAAATTAATTACAAACATTAATAGATTAGCATTTTCAAAGTAATATTTTCCAGAATTATTATTTTTTCCATTTTAATTGGCTATATTTGTGCTAAATTTCACAAATATACACATATTTACATTTACACACACATATTTTTTTATGATTATAAAAAATCATTTTTAAAATGACATTAAAAGTCTTTTCATAAAAAAGAACAAAAAAGTACTAAAATTACAATATTAAAACAAAAATAGAAAATATGAAGCTAAAATTTTATTCATAATATAAATACATTTGTATTTTTATTAAATTAATGACTATTTAAATGTATTAGGTACAGTAATGATAAATTTCCTGAATTATTTTTGTTGTTTTGTCATTGTAATTAGGAGGCTTTATTCTATACTTTTACTATATTTCCAGTTTAGTTGTATCATTGAATTACCCAATTATAAATATTTTTATATTAACTAATTATAAATAACTATAAATATAAAAATTATTATCAGTGAATACAATAAAAATGGCAAATATAGAAATAATATTCCCCTGCTTATTACAGAAATAAATAAATGTTTGTTTTAAATAGTTTTAAAGAGCCCATATTATGGGTTTTTGAAAATTCCCCTCCATGTAGTGTGTAACACAGCTCTAAGTGAAGTGAAGTATTCAGCTAAGGCTTAAATCTGTAAGAATACAGTGTTTAAAACGGTTGATTCATCTATAAAAGAGTCGACTCATAGTGCTTCAAACGAGTCGCCTTGATACCGATTCATTAGGTGTTTCGCCATGACGTACGAACGAAACAAAGTTTTTCACGTGCACGCGCAAACCCGGGAGATTTCAAACCTGAGGCCCCGCCCTCTGACGCAGAAACCCAGACACACACACAGACACACACACACAAACAAACACACGCACACAAACATGCCGGTCGATTGAAGTCACACTGCAGATGGATATTATATCGAGTCTCTACCCAAAGATGAAACATCAGCATTATAGCCAAGCTGGAAACTACTGGAAACTTCTGGAAACTACATGCTACAAAGAATACTTCATCAGCGTTTGTTAAAGGAAGGATCAGTAAAGAGTAACTGATTGACGTCAGGATGGGTTTCTTCCATTTCTCAAGTGTAAGTACGTGCGGTTAAAGTTGTTGCCTCGTTGACTCTAGCTTGGAAATGTATTTAGTTCTGATTTTTTACTTGTAACCGAGTGTACTGTATCAGGTTAACTGGCTATATTCTCTTATCGCGTGCAAAGTCACGTTAAAAACGCGACGCGTGCTGCTTTGTTGACGGAGCTCCGAGGTAGAGTTGTGCATTCCCGCGGCTGTCCCCGCGCCAGATTTCTGCGGCACGGGAATAAATTTCCGAATAAATCGCGGGAGCGGTCGGTAACGGGTTTAATTTGGGACGGGAGCGGGCTGTCTAGCAATATCACGGACATTGCTATGCGAATGAGAAAGAGAGTGTGCTTGTGTGTGTTAGTGCGCACGCGCGCGTATGAGAGAGAGAGAGAGCGAGACCGAGCTTTGTGTGCTTGTTGCTGTGTGTGTGTTTATACAGACATCTTGGCTGTCTGGACTGTATAGCTGGGTGACTTTTGGTTGTGTTCTCCCCCGCTCTAGTGAGATCGGGCGCGGCTGGCAGAAAACGGAGCAGGTTCTCAGGCTAAAACCTGGCGGGTGCGGGCGGAAGCGGGAGCGTTGTCGTCCGGAGGTGTGTGTGTGTTTTTGTGTGTGTGTGGCAGCTAAAATCCACGCCTACACTATGGAGCGCGTATGAACTGTGATTACTTTTATATTGCTGATTAGCTGTTTGGCATTTCACTCTCTGACTGAAGGCAGTCGACCAATCGCAACAGGCTGTCATTGGTCCAATCAGCGCACATTAGCTTCGCGCTAAGGAGGGGTTTGGGAACAAATGAATCACTGGACAATTCATACGAGAGTCGCTGGAATAATTAGGTAAAAATAAATGCAGATTATAAGACCATGAAAGTGTTTTTTGACCTTGCATGCATATTAGACTGTTGTTGGAGACCCTTACAACCAAGATATGACCCTATTTCATGTATAATATGGGCTCTTTAAATGTGTGTGTGTGTGTGTGTGTGTGTGTGTGTGTGTGTGTGTGTGTGCGTGTGTGTGTGTGCGTGTGTGTGCGTGTGTGTGTTATTAGTGTGTCTGTACCTGTTCTCTGATCATGAGCTGATGACTCTCCATCATGAGTTCAAATTTGTCCCATTTAGCTCTGAGGGAGCTGATGGTGTCCAAACCTCCACCTGCCACCGAGCGCAGCAGCCTGTTCTTCTCCTCCGCCTGCTGGAACTGAGGCAGAACCTGCACACAACATCAAAACAACATCAGCACGACATTCACACAAGACCAACGCAACAGACACATATTTGGTTAAAGTCAGAATTATTAGCCTCCTTGAATTTATTTTTCTTTTTTAAATATTTCACCAATGATGTTTAACATATTCAGGAATTTTTCACAGTATTTCCTATAATATTTTTTCTTCTGGAGAAAGTCTTATTTGTTTTATTTCGACTAGAATAAAAGCAGTTTTTAATTTTTACTAAACTATTTTAAGGTCAATATTATTCGCCCCCTTACGCTTTTAAATGTCACTTTAAGCTGAATACTAGTATCTTAAAAATTTCTAGTCAAATATTATTTACTGTCATCATGGCAAAGAGAAAATAAGTTATTAGAAATGAGTTATTAAAACTATTATGTTTAGAAATCTTCTTTCCGTTAAACAGAAACTGAATATACAGGGGGACTAAACATTCAGGAGGGCTAATAATTCTGACGTTGTAATAACATCACACATTCAGATCTATATGTGAAGCAGAAACTGTATAAGCCAAATGTAAACACAAATAGTGGTTGGGTGTTTTAATGAGACTCATATTTGAAGGAACAGTTTACCAAAAAAATGTCAAATTTGTATCATTTTTTCACCCTCCATTTACAAACATGTTTATTTTTTCTGTTGATTACAAAAGAAGACATTTTGAAAAATGTTGGACACCTGTAACCATTGACTTCCATACCATTTTTCCCCTACTTTGTACAGTTGAAGTCAGAATTATTAGCCCTCTTTTGATTTTTTTTTCTTTTTTAAATATTTCCCAAATTATGTTTAACAGAGCAAGGAAATGTTCATAGTATGTCTGATAATATTGTTTCTTCTGGAGAAAGTCTTACTTGTTTTATTTCGGCTAGAATAAAAGCAGTTTTTAATTTTTTAAAAAACAATTTTGGGGCAAAATTATTAGCCCCTGTATGCTAATTTTTTTTTAAATAGTCTACAGAACAAACCATCGATATACAATAACTTGCCTAATTACCCTAACCTGCCTAGTTCACCTTATTAACCTAGTTAAGCCTTTAAATGTCTCTTTAGGTGTATAGAAGTGTCTTGAAAAATATCAAGTAAAATATTATTTACTGTCATCATGGCAAAGATCAAATAAATCAGTTATTAGAAATAGGTTTCTAAAACTATTATGCTTAGAAAGTATGCCCTCCATTAAACAGAAATTGGGGAAAAAAATAAACAGGGGCGCTAATAAGTCAGGGGGGGCTAATAATTCTGACTTCAACTCTATGTTAATGAAAAAGGATTCAAACCACTTGAGGATGCACGGAAAGTCAATTTTTAATTTAGGGTGAACTGTGCCTTTAAGACAATCTTCATGCTACTAGTTTTTTTTATTCATAGGAGAAGATTTTTTTTTTCTCATTGCAAAAACAACAGGCCATTACAACAAATAGAAATACAAAAACTGATAGAAGTATAGTACAAGCAATACAAATATTACTTTTTGCAACAAGAGAAATTTAACAATTTTAAAATAAATTTAAAAAGGTAAAGCAAAAGAAAAACTGAAAAATAATAAAATAAGGGCACATGACAAAAATAAAACTAATTAAAGCAAAATTTTAAATGAATTGTTGTGAGAGTCTGTGATGGTTTTTAAATACAGCTCGAATTCACTTACATTGAGTATGATGGCATTTGTGTATAAAAAAACTTTGCAATAAATAAAATAAATGCAATAAATGCAAAAAAGTTGAATTAAGGAATTGCTTTTCTTTAATATAAAACCACAAAACAACATGTCTATAGCTTAAAGAAAAATCACCACAAACCTTTTGTACAATTAGAGAACTCACATCAAACCAGAAAGAGTTAACTGAGCTGAATGAGGGTGTTGATGATGCCTTACCTCAGGCTTTTGTGTCTGTAATTGGCTGTGTTTGGCATTAGCCTCTCCGATCTCATCGATGCTTTCAGGACGCAGGGATAATGTCTCCATCGCCCCGTTTACAAACGAGTCTATCACCTGAATGTGACCTGAACACACACACAGAAAAAAATCATTGCATGGGTGAAAACACAAACGCAACCATCTACGGCCAGCAGAGGTCAGTACCGCTCCATCTAACTTCAAGTACTGATTATTTATATGAAGGTACTTACATATATTCCTAATTCACTGTATTATGTACTAGTACTATGATTGTATACACTAGTTGTGGCAGTTTTATTTAGCTTTTTTCAGATGTATTTAGTTTTTAGTTACTTTATTGCTTAAGTTGTTTTGAACTTGGTGTTTTTACTTGTATTTTTGTTTTATTTCAGTTTGTATGAAAAGCAATATGTCTCATTTTCTTTTCTGATTTATTTTCCCTATTGTTTCTTTATGCATATACTTTTATTTTGTCAGCTTTGCTTAAATTTTTATTCATTCGTTCTTTTTCCTTCGGCTTAGTCCCTTTTTTATCAGGAGTTGCCACAGCAGAATGAACTGCCAACTTATCCAGCATATGTTTTACGCACTCAGTGACAGGTGGAGGTTTGGACACCATCAGCTCCCTAAGAGCTAAATGGGACATGTTTAAGCTCATGATCAGGGAACAAGTACAGAGTACAGACACACACACACATTTTTAAAACAAATATTTCTCTGAAATAAGTTGTGGAATTGCATGACCATATCTTGTGTTTGTTTTATTTTACTAGCTAACAAAATGTCATTAAAAATTAAAAACATTTAAATATTTATAATTAGTTTATAAAAATATTATTATCAAGGTAAACAAATTATTGCAACTAAGCTGGAAACTTATTTTGTAATTAATAAAATAATAATAATAATAATAATAATAATAATAATTCAGGAAATGTATTATAATTTTGAGCAAAATATTGAACTTTTAGTGTATTTTTGTCCTTTTTAGTTTGTGTTTTTTATATAAAAGTACATATTTTTATATTAATTAAGTCATTTTCCTTTGGCTTAGTCCCTTTATTCATCAGGGGTCACCACAGCAGAATGAACCACCAACTATTCCAGTATATTTTTTACACACCCATACACACTCATTCACACACACGCTCATACACTATGGCCAATTTAATTTATTCAGTTCCCCTATAGAGCATGTGTTTGGAGTGTGGGGGAAACCGGCGCACCTGGAGGAAACCCACGCCAACACTGGGAGAACATGCAAAGGGCAAGAAGGTCGCTGGTTCGAGTCTCGGCTGGGACAGTTGGCCATTCTGTATGGAGTTTGCATGTTCTCCCATTGTGTGCACATGGGTTTCCTCCGGTTACCCCCACAGTCCAAACACATGCGTTAGGGGTCAATTGAATAAACTAAACTGTGCTGTGTTGTAGCTGGAAGGACATCCGCTGCGTAAAACAAATGCTGAATAAGTTGGCGGTTCATTCTGCTGTGGCGACCCCTGATAAATAAAGGGACTAAGCTGAAGGAAAATGAATGAATGCATAAATGAACCAGCCTCGTTTCAGCTTTATTTAAAGTACAATAATGTTTACTAGTTTTTCTGATCAATAAGAGTGTGGAGTGTAAGTGCAGAGTGTGCATTGTGTGTTTTTTGTTACCCTGTATGGATCTCCTGAGAGACGCCAGTAGAGCATCAAACAGCCTCTGGATCAGGTCATCCACAGACACTCGCACAGGCTCACAGTTCACAGTGATGCAGTCCACCTTCTCTGAGCTGAACACACACAGTTTTGCACACAAACAAAGTTAAACAGACCAAGACACACACGCACGCACACACACACACACACACACACACGCACGCACACACGCACACACGCACGCACGCACGCACGCACGCACACACGCACGCACGCACGCACGCAC